AAATAAAGAATTAGTTTTATAATATGTAATATATTGTATAATAACATTTTGAAATAATAAAATAAAATACATACTGTAGCAGTAATATGTATCATGAATTTCAGAGGGCTACTATAGTAAATATTTTAAAAGTAAGATTAGAATTATATTAAATAATTAATATAATTGGTTTGATTAAGTTTAGCTATCTACGAACTCGTATTTTGCTATTAAAAAAAAAAAAAAGCAAATTAAAAAGTAAGAAATTAAAAAGCTGTAACGATAATAGTAAGAGAATAAAAGTATTTATATATATCTATATATGTATATATATATACATATACATACTTTTAATGAACCCGTGATATTAAACTTTTTTTAAAGTTTTATTTTTCAAGATCAAATACAGTTTAATTAAATATCTATTAATCTAATTATGATCGATATTAGTATATACATATAACATAATAATACAAGCTTCAATATATAGTATATACGTACGTAAGTAATTTATATATATAAATATTGACATAAAAATACTGCAGCTCAGTATAATTTACGTATGGATGATATTGTAAGAAGAAAATAGACTCAGGTCATCATTAAAGTAGCTTGGGTCAATTTGCTAGAATAGATTAGATCTGAATATATTATATATAGAAAAAAGATAGATATAGTGTAAATATATTAGTAGATAGTAATGAAAATTTGCATAAAGACTTAATATTTATCTTGAATAAAGATAACAAATAATACTTAACAAGTTCCAATTTAAATATTTTCTAATAATACGTAATCTAGAGCTTTAAGACTAATTATTTAGTATATATATATATAGTATTAAAGATTTAATAGTGATAGTATTTGAATAGATAGTTGATATGCAGATCTTTTATCTAAAATAGGTTTTCCATATTCATTGGGATATTAGCTGTATAATATATTCAAAGTAAAAGAAAATATTTAATAAAGGCTTTTCACTTTTGAGAAAGACATCCTTTGTAATTCAAATAAACCTATCTTCTATTAATTACTTATACTATAATTAAATACATTCTGATCTACTGCTTAAGAATATAAATAATATAAATTATTATTCTTATTCTCTTGTTCATGTAATAATAATAAAGTGTACTGTTACTCTGTTTGGCTAATTCTCAACATACTGAGGACTACTGTGGTTGTTGTTTTCCAATTCTTCCAATATACCGAGGATAGTTGTAGTAATTGTTTTGTCTGGTTCTTTCAACGTACTGAGGATAGTTGTAGTAATTGTTTTGTCTGATTCTTCCAACGTACTGAGGATAGTTGTAGTAATTGTTTTGTCCGGTTATTCCAACATATTAAGAATAGTTGTAGTGATTGTTTTGTCTGGTTCTTCAAACATACTGAAAATAGTTGTAGTAATTGTTTTGTCCGGTTCTTCCAACATACTGAGAATAGTTGTAGTAATTGTTTTGTCTGGTTCTTTTAACATATCAAGAATAGTTATTTTTAACCAGTTTGAAGCCCAAGTTTCTTAATACAGGTAAAGAAGACAGACCAATAGCTATATTTACTCTTGCCCAAATATAACTGCTTCTTTCATCTATAGATATATGATATTCTAGTTTGTAGAGTGACTGACTCACTATACTGACTTGCAATTTACTGGTATCACTATATTTGACATAACAGTACAGGAACCAGTTTTCGCTGTTATAATATATAAAAATACTTAATATTTTTAATATTTAGCAAATTAATAAAATATAGAAAGCAAAAAATATAAAGTAAAGAGAGAAAAATAAGAGCTAAAAAAATAATAATAAAGAAATATTAGATTTGGCGAACTATGAATTTGTAATTCGCTAAATAGGAAGTAAGGATTAAATATATAAAATTTAGTGAAATCTAAGTTTAAATTAAAAAAAAAAGTATACCGCTTCTATGTAAATATAAGATAAAGAAAGAAACTTTGAAAAAGAGTAGTGACGTTAAAATTAGTGCTAAATTTCTTTTATATAATATAATAAATTTACTAATTAACTGTATGATTGTATCGTTATAATGTGTCACATGCATATTTTACTTGACGTTCAATGGTTAAAAATAATTAATTAAATTTTTAAATAGTAATAGAGATACAAAATATAGATTATACAGTATATGGAAAATAATTAATTAAATTTCTAAATAGTAATAGGGATGCAAAATATAGATTATACAGTATATGGATTGAA